AAGGAGGAAGGGGAAGAGAGAATATGACAAGAGCTTTTGCCTCTCGAGTAGTTATTTGGGGTTTCAACATATGACAGGATTAAGTGCCTGAAAGTGACATTTTAGTCAAGAGCCCCTTGTTTTACACATGGCCAACTTGACTTTATGATGTTTGAAGTTATGTAGATTGCCGTGTAGTGCCTCCTATTTGTCACATACATCATATACCATGCTTGCTCTAGTCCCTGTGTCAGAAATTTGCACATTCCGGATGAAGTAAGAGCAAACAGAACAATATTTCTTCTTGGCCAGGCAGTGTCTATGTCAGATACTCTGTGTATCAGTGGCCTCTGATTTTCAGTAGTCACTCATACATGTTTAATGGCACGAAATGCATATGGGAAAAATTCTTTGCAAATTCCCTGTTTATCTCATTTTTCTATGTCATCAGCTGTATATCTTTACAATCAAGATAGGAAGAAGTAAGGGAAACACTGATATTTTGCCACTGGCTGCACTGAATTGCTTGAAAGATCACAGGACTGCTGCTTTCAAAACATAAAATATTAGCACATATGCTGTGACAGTTAGTGACAAATATGGAGTGCTGTTGTGGCTCAGCCTCTCTGAATGTGTGAGTATTAGAAGGACCTGAATTAGAAACGAAGATAAAATAAATCCCAAACCAACTCTCACCAAAAAATACAGACAGAAACAAACACTACATTGGGACAAAGATAAATAATGTGTCCTGAAGGCCGTGTTCATTAAATGGAAGTATTTGTGGCTTCTTCTGTTCCTCCACTGATATATTAAGATCTGTAAGAAACACAGAATTGTTGTTACAAATTTAGCTAAGTAAAGACTATTACCAGTGGCCACTATTACCATTTACACACACACACTGAAATTTAAATTTCAGCATGTGAAAGAATTTATACTTGCAACCAAGCAACATTACCTTCTAGTTTATTTAGTTTGAGTAGGTTTTACCTACTAGTGGTTAAACAAGAAAGTCTGCTCTGGTCCAAACTACCCTCTAGAAGGAGCATATCTCAGTGTGTGATACGCACACTTGAGTTCAGGCTGTCTACAGCCTCACAGACATTGCACTGATGAGTCCGTGAACCGTCTTTCAGAAGACTGTTGCAGCTTTATGCATGAAGAGCTAGTTGAGAGATGTTTCCATGGTAGTGAAGAGCCAGAGTTGAAGTGGAAGAACGTCCCTTTAATAATCCTCTTTTGTCAATGCCTTTCCTTTAGCACATACAGTGTGTTTCACCTTTAGTCAGAATTTCATTCAAAATGCATAAATCTCACCTTGATTTATACCAAGGAAGTTGGAAGCTGGCTGTTTCACTGTTGGGATTTTTTTTAGTTTTTTCAATACTTGAAAGCAGCATCTGATTTACTCACGGCCTATAAAGTCCTCAACATTTGTGCTTCTCCATATACAAGAATGCTGCAGGCTTTAGTGACATACCTTCTCAGTACGACCATTTCTGTTACAAGGGAAGTTTGGCTCTTAAATTTTTAAAAATGACTTTGAAATAAGTAAAATAAGGATAGTGCTAAGACAAATAGTAATAGACTGGTGGGTTTTCAATTAATATGAAGGGGTGGAATTTTACTATTTTTCCGTGTGTTTCAGAAGTAGTCTCCTCACATCATTGCTCTTTTTGCGATACGTATGAAACTATGCATAAAAGCTCCTTATAACAGTATTAGAAACAGTGTCAGTGTTTCAAACCTTGTGTTTAATATACACATGTTTAAAAGGGTTTTAAAGACAGCTGAATGCTGGCCTCTTAGCTGTTTCACTTGCTCCCTCAACTCCACTTTCATTCTCCCTAATTCTCACACTGTCATTATAAAATATTATATTCGAAAAAGAGAAGGACTTCCTAAATTGCCTGTCATTATCCTAAAAAAAGGAAAAAAAATGTGAACTGAAAAACACCTACAAATTAGCAGTGGTTTTGGACAGCAGTGATAATTAATCGTATCTTGACTAATATAGTCAGGAAAGAAAATGTAGTGATTTGATTCTTGCTGCTAAAAAAAAAAAGTTCAATATTAAATAGATATTGAAATGCGTGCACTTTTTTCGTTGTCCTTTTTCAAATATGTTGATGGATTGTCTCACTGTACGTGTGGGTTTTTTCAGTCTTGCTAGTATTCTTTATGGCAAATGACAAAATGACATTGCTGCTGTATGACGCTATCATGACTGAGACCTTTGAATGCCGTATATGACAATAAAGCTATGTGACCACCTGGATTTTGTGGTACTGTAGCTGCAGCCACTCAAAAGCCTGTGTCCATGCAGCTTGTGTGCATCTCGTTCATTATCACCACTGAGTTAGTTCAAGTATAGTCAAAGCTTCTTAAGTGTAGGTTGCACACTGCCTTCCACCTAGATAAAAGAGATCAAGTGTTTCAAATAATTGATGCTAATTTTACCACTCAGTAAAATTTCTGCAATACTAGAATACTATCTGTTATCCTAGACAATATTTATTAGATACTTTTAGTTTGGGTGAGTGCGATTAACATAATAAATGGTTAACAAATTGAGACCCAAAATAAGTTAAGTAATAAAGATGCAGTCCACTTATATTGCCTACAAAAATATTTTAACATATAGAAGAGGAGCATGTTCATCTTCCTTATGTAGCCACATAGAAGAAAGTTCGAATAAACATCATTGGTTTTAAATGGCTTGAAGAGTATTCTTAATCTTTCCTGAAGTTACTGACCTTTCACTATACATTTGAAAATACAAGTTCACCCCTACTATAAACTGTTGTAAAAGCATGATAAATTTACACAAATATTGTAATATATATGTAAAGATAAGCCACAATGAATGGCATATTTAAAAAGAAAACTGATATTCCAGATCACCATAGAAACGGGACTAGATACAAATTTTTTTATTGCATTTATCAGCAGTGGCAGAGAGCATTATCTGAAAGATTTAGAAAATGTTAGAAAGGAGTTAAAAACAAATCAAATTCAGAACAATTTAGATTATATTTTAAAGAAAGGAAAAAAAAATCTAGCCGATTTGTTCTTTTTTTCACTTTCCACAAAAAGGAACTCTAACCAGTGTCATTCTGGTGATAACTATTATGAAATAAGTATGATGTGCTATGCAGCACAGCCGTGTGGTTATTCTAAATGGTCAGGAGCACCTAACAGTAAACACAAACAGTGGCTTTAAAGATATTTCTGTACTGGAGTGTACTTTGATGGTAAGAAGCGGTAACTTGCTAAATTCTGAGGTTTCTGTGCAACAGAAACCATACTGTACAGAGACACTCCACCTACAGCACTGTGGTCAAAAAGCTGATTGAAAGGCATTTTGGATGCAGAAAAACATGTTGAGTTAGTACATTTTATTTTCTGTATGTTTTGCTTTTTCTAGAACATGCTTTTATATATATTTGTTTCAACAAATGCATTGCGATTTTATGTAATTGGAGAAAATATTTAAGGAGTATTTCAAAGACTAGGGTTTTTTTCAGAATTTGAATGAAGTTTTGTTACCTATCTCGTTATTCGTTCCAAATATCAAAAGCCATTGAAGCAGACAAATTTAGAAAGAACATACTATCAGTTATACATACTTGAGACCGGTGCTGTGGAAAGTGTGTCTTTTAAATGCTTGAATAATTGTATTTAATGGCAATCCATCTTTTCTTAACAGCATGTTGACAAAGGCTAAAGAGATTGAAATGACAATAAGAGGAATAACATTCAGTATACATTTGGGAGAATAAATGTTCATAGTATTGGCACAGAGCTTCATCTTTCTGAGATGGGCTAGCAAATAGGGATTAGCAATACTTAAAGATCACGTTTTCCATGGCCTGACGTGCTGGGATTTTAAGGTAGTCTGGGGTCGCAGTTAGCATTGACTTGCATTAGGGTCGTTTGTCACTGAAAATTATTAGAGAAAAAAAAATCAGTCATACTTAATGGAAATCACATATATGAAGAAAAAGAAGGAGGAAAATTCAACCATACAATTAGCTTAAACATCTCATGATAGTTTCTTATTCTGTCACATGTCTTGCTGGAATGTATAAGCTAGCGCAGAAAAGGAAAGGCAAAAAAAATTATTTGATGTGTGAGTCTTTCGTTGTCAAAACAGTCCCTGTGGAAAATTATGGGTTTGTACAAAGTAGCAATATTTTTTATGCTGTCTAGGTTTTGCATGATGTCAGGGCATTAGCTGGCCTACTGAGAACTTATAAGCATGTCCTTATTTTTTCCTACATAATATGACCCAAAGTCCTTTGTACTAAAAAATGCCAGTTCATATCTCTAAGCATCTAATTTGAAATGAAATAAAGTATGCTACATCTGTGTTTGGAAAAGACCTTGTTTCAAAGGTGGTATTTGTTGCTGGCCAGCTAGTGTTTGTTCTTCATTCATGCTTTATATTTCTCATTTCTCACATCAGTGTTTGAATTTTTAACACTAGATGTTTCTTCAAAACTATTATGAGTGTGTTTATACAAACAATATATCTATTTCACACAAATGCTGTATGAAATAATTTCTTCCACTAAAATTCTAGCAGGAGTTGGGGGGCATGGAATCAAAGTCAATCACTATCAAAAATAAAAATTGTTTCCACATGTTCAAACTATTTACAACTGCGTATCAGAGGTGCAGTTTTAAAATATTGATGGGAAAGATGTCTGCAGTACAAAGAGTACATGAATTTAAAAGTTACAGAGAAAGATGGAGTATCAACATTTCATAGCGCTACTTAACAAATATGTGCTGTGCTCTTTACCTGTACCTCAAGTTTTTAGTTATATTTCCTCACATAACACACACACATACTTATATTCTATTTTGGAACTCTATTTATTTGTATGCATTTGCCTCCTGAACGTGTTCGATTCGAAGGCTACAGCAGTCACACGTTATGTTTCAAAAAAAAAGAAGGAGGACTGCAAAGACAAGCTTGGGGATTTTGACAGACCTTTTTTCTGTTTTTCCAGGTGACATTTACGAAGAGGAAATTTGGGTTAATGAAGAAGGCTTATGAGCTGAGTGTTCTGTGTGACTGTGAGATTGCTCTGATCATCTTCAACAGCACCAACAAACTGTTCCAGTATGCCAGCACTGATATGGACAAAGTGTTGCTGAAATATACCGAGTACAATGAGCCGCATGAGAGTCGAACGAATTCGGATATTGTTGAGGTAAGATTTTGTGTTCTGTGAAGAGTACTTTTTTACATTGCTCTGAGACCGAGGTGCTCAAAGTGAGAGGCCTGATCATCTTTCTTGAGGGTTTAGAAAGTACCCTGAAGATGACATAGCGGCAGGAGAGCAGAACAGGGACAACTGAATATTGGTTTTGGGGCTGGAGATGGCAGGGACTGGAAGGAATACAGTCTTTTGTGAACAGTAAGTTTTATCCTGCTGAGTCTCATGTGCTCAGCAGAAACTCCTGCGATAGGATCTCTGGCTCCCTGTCATCCAGCTTTCTGTGCTGCTTTGTCCCTTTGTCCCATTAGTCCTCTTCACTGCTTGACCACTACCTTCCAGCTGAGTCTCTCCTTTGTCTCATAGTTGCTCCCGGTGGCATGTTGTCCAGAAAACATTGTGTGCCTTGTCTCTTCTCTCCAAAAGTTATAATATCCTCTGTTCAGAAGGAACTCAAAAATACATTGTAAAAGATGTGGAAGAAAAAGATTTAGAATCACTGCTTTAAGGGATTGGACTGACTTGTTTAGCTTTCTAATTGTTTACAGAGGAAGGATGTTTAGTAAAATGCAAGAAAACTTTACTTACAAGCTGCACAATAACGAAAGTTTCAGCCACCTCACACAGAATGCTGTTACCATAATAATAACTGCATCAAAGCAATACTATCAGAATGGTAGAGACACCTTGTAATTATTTAAAAAAAAAGACCACCTTTTAATAGGACAAGTTGTATTTATAGTTACTGAAAATTATTAATTAAAATTTAAGATTTTCAATCTTAAGCTTTTAATATTTGCAGAAAAGTCACTTTACTTTATAATCACATTAGGATTCAAACCATGCAAAATAAGTTAAGCTTTCAATGATTATGTTGTAAAAGCAAAACATTCAGAGTGACAGCTAAGAAATTGGTTATGTGACTCCAACAACTCCTGTTTTCAAAGCGCCTAATTGATTAGGCACCTAACAGTATCATTTTAAAAAGTGTTGGAAGGATGAGGTCTTGTCTTAAAGATCAGTGAAAGTTTATTCATAAATGCTACTGAATACCTTGTTCTATACACTTAGACGATTTAAGATCTTTTTAAAGGTGTTAGTTTCAGATTTTTAAATAATCTTGATGTTGTCTAAAATGAGACTTTGGTGCTTTTAGAATCTTCACCTGAGTCAGTCATGTATTTTAGACTAGCAATGGAAGAAAGTGTGAATTACATATAAAATGGTTTTGATGGAGAAAAAATACTGTATAATAGACATCATTAGACTTGTTACAAAATGTCACTTTTACACCACCATAGATTGGCTAAGACTGCAACCCAGGAACATATATCACTTTTCTGCCTATCCTTATGTCAACATATACAATGATACTACTTTGCTTCCTTCATCATCTCCCAGCACATTTTCTCCACCATTAAGAGAGGATGAGGTTCTGACAGCAGAACAAAAATTTATGTGAGTTAAGACTAAGAGGAAAGTATATAATTTCTTCCTCCTCTCCATCATCTCTTTTCCTCTCTTAGTTCAAATCTCCTATGTAGACATGAAGCCTTTCCTGTCACCTAGCTCTTGTAAGCCCATGTCCTGTCCAGCAGAATTCAGATTCTGTCCCAAAAATAATGCCCTGTCCTCTTTTGGTGGCAAAAAGCCAGAATATTCTTAGCAGGAAAAGTTTCCTGTGATATCTTTACTTCTTCCTGCAGGCTTTCTTGTGGGAATACATGAGTAAGCCAGTAGTTCAGGATTTATTACTTGCTTCACAATGAACGAATACTTTTGATCACATTTTTTCAAGAAACTCGAGTGAAAATGTAAAGCTTAAAATAATATCTATCTTGTTGTAACTTTGAGATTTTCAGAAAGAGCACTCTCTGCATCAGCGAAGTCCTTTTCCTGCAAAAACAGTGGGCCAGTTTGAATAGGCTAATAGGCATTTTTGCATGCAGACATGTAATTTTCTGGCCATACCCAAAATTTGGTGGGCATCCCTTTTCAGTCCTCTAAAAGGCACCAAATAAAAGTAGGCAATTGAAATAAACATTATTTAAGTTGAGTAATCTAGCAATAAGCAGAAAAGGCCAAATGAAGTGCGTGTTTATAGTTTTTCCGTATGTTCCATAAGCTCTGAATTCAGTCATTTGATCATTTTGCTGTTACGTTTTTCAATGTTCTGCCTGTAATGCAAAATACTTCAGCCACACCAATGCCAGTACTGTTTCAGGATAAAAGGAGTACTTGTGCAGGGTGTAGGTTTTCAACAAGAGTTTCATATTATCATGCCTTTACTTGATAATTAACATCACAGTTAGGAGTACAATAGAGGAATAGAGCACATAGAAGTATGCAATCTGAGAAATGGCTTGACAGTGTAGTTTGGATATATTTTTAGGTACAGGATATAAATCTGCCACACATTTAAATATTTAAAGTGATCAGTTAAACTGACTACATTACACATATTTTCCCTGTAAGGAGTCCATTTTTTTTCGCTTTCAGACAGCTAGATTTCACACTTACAAGTTTTTAATCTTGTTCTTCCAGAGCAATCAACATTGAGAATCAGACAGTATTATTAAATCTGATCATTTTCAACTAAATGACTGTTCAGTAACTATGTTTCAGCAGAAGAAAAGGGCATAGCTGTGCTCACAGATTTCTGCACAGTATTAGAGAAAGAAAACTTTTTTAGGTAGACTTATGAAAATTTGAAATATAACTGTCAACTGTATAAAGGTCTTTAATTTAAAATCCAATTTCTGTTCACATTCAGCATAATATTAACTATTTAGTTACTTTTGGGTTTTAGTAGAACTGTGTTATCAACCATTAGAATGTGGTATGA